TAAACTTTGGCGGAGAGTGAAAGTGAAAGCCGAGTTTGAAAAATCACTAAATTCCCTTCACAATTATTGTGAAGCTTATGGTCTACGAATATGACACGAGACTAGGCTGAAGTTCGTTACTATATAAATTAGCAAAATCGATCTCAAATCGTGACTTATAGGTATAGCTCACAAATTTTATGAAAAGTTCAAATTTTGAACATTTGCAAATATTTTGGTTTATGCATTAAAGAAAGTTTATGAGCTCCTTAGAAGAAATTAGAATATTTATTAACACACCTAAGTAATTTTCACAAATTGTTTGTGTAAAATAGAAAAATAAATAGACATTGGCAGAGAGCGAAAGTGATATCCGAGTTTTGAATAGTCACTAAATGCCTACACAAATTTTTGCGAAGCTTATCGATAGATGAAAATGGCACGAAAGTAGGCTTAAGCTTGTTATTTAGAAATTAGCAAAATTGATACCAAATCGTGATTTTATAGCCCACAATTTTTGTGAAAAATACAATTTTTGCACATTTTCAAACTTTTTGGTTTCTACAATAAAGAAAGTTTTGTAAGTTCTATAGAAGCATTTAGACAATTTATTGGTATTTTTTATGTGTCGAATAAAATATAAATAAACATTAGCAGAGAGTAAAAATCATAGCCAAGTTTTAAAGATCACTAAATGCTCTTTACAAATTATTTAGAAGCTAAATGCCCTACACAAATTCTTGAGAAGCATATAGATAGACAAAAGTGGCATGAAAGGAGGCTTATGTTCGTTACTTAGAAATTAGCAAAATCAATCCCAAATCGTGACTTATCACTCACACTTTTTGTCAAAAATACAAATTTTGAATTTTTGCAAATTTTTTGGTTTACGCATTAAATAAAGTTTTATAAGTTCTTTAGAAGTAGTTGGACAATTTATTGATACACACATGTATTCTTAATGGATTTTTTATGTGTCATGTAAAAATATAAATAAACATTGTCGGATGGTGAGGGGATAGTCGAGTTTGAAAAATCACTAAAATCCCCACACAAATTATTGAGAAGCTTATCGATCGACAAAAATGACACAAAAGTAGGCTTAAGTTCGTTACTTAGAAATTAGCACAATCGATCTCAAATCGTGACTTATAGCTCACAGTTTTTTTGTGAAAAATTTAAATTTTGAACATTTGCAAATTTTTTGGTTTATGCATGAAAGAAAGTTTTGTAAGTTCTTTAGAAGTTGTTGGACAATTGTTGATACACATAAGTATTTTTTATGGGTGAAAAGAAACAAAAAAAAATAGTGGTTGAGACTAAAAGTGATAGCCGAGTTTGAAAAATCACTAAAAACCCTGCACAAATTATTGAGAAACTTATCGATCGAAGAATATGAGACGAAAGTAGGCTTAAGTTCATTACTTTAGAAATTAGCAAAATCAATCTTAAATCGTGATTTATAGCTCACAGTTTTTCTCAAAAATTCAAATTTTGAACATTTGCAAATTTTTTTGTTTATGCATTAAATAAAATTTTGTAAGTTCTTTAGAAGTAGTTGGACAAGTTATTGATACACATAAGTATTTTTCATGTGTCAAGTAGAAATATAAATAAACATTGGCGGTGAGTGAAAGTGATAGCCAAGTTTGAAACATCACTAAATACCACACACAATTATTGAGAAGCTTATCGATCGACGGAAATGACACAAAAATAGGCTTGAGTTTGTTACTTTAGAAATTTGCAAAATCGATCTCAAATCGTGACTTATAGCTCACGGTTTTTGTGAAAGTTACAAATTTTGAACATTTGCAAATTTTTTGGTTTGCGCAATAAAGAAAGTTTTGTAAGTTCTTTAGAAAGAGTTGGACAAATTATTATACACATAAGTATTTTTTATGTGTCAAGTAGAAATATAAATAAACATTGGCGGAGAGTGAAAATCATAGCCAAATTTTAAAGACCACTAAATGCTCTTCACAAATTATTGAGAAGCTTACGGTCAACGAATATGACATGAAACTAGGCTTAAGTTCGTTACTTTAGAAATTAGCAAAATCAATATCATATCTTAATTTGTAGCTCACAGTTTTTTGAAAAATGCAAATTTTTGGGTTTATGCATTAAAGAAAGTTTATGAGCTCTTTAGAAGCAATTAGAATATTTATTAACACACCTAAGTAATTTTCATGAATTTTTAATGTGTAAAATAGAAAAATAAATAGACATTGGCAGAGAGTGAAAGTGATATCCGACTATGAAAAGTCACTAAATGCCCTACACAAATTCTTGAGAACCTTATCGATCAAGGAAAATGGCACGAAAGAGGCTTAAGTTCGTTACTTTAGAAATTAGCAAAATCGATCTCAAATTGTAGCTCACAAAAAATACAAATTTTGAACATTTGCAAATTTTTTGGTTTGCGCAATAAAGAAAGTTGTGTATGTTTTTAAGAAGCAGTTGGACTATTTATTGATTCACATAAGTAAATTTTGTGGATTTTTTATGTGTCAAATATAAATATAAATAAACATTGGCGGAGAGTGAAAGTGATAGCCGAGCTTTAAAAATCACTAAAAATCCTACACAAATTATTGAAAAGCTTATAAATCAACGAAAATGACACAAAAGTAGGCTTAAGTTCATTACTTTAGAAATTAGCAAAATCGATCTCAATCGTGACTTATAGCTCAAAGTTTTTGTGAATAATTTCAAATTTTGAACATTTGCAAATATTTTGGTTTACGAATAAAGAAAGTTTTGTAAGTTCTGTAGAAGCAATTGGATAATTTATTGATATACATAAGTATTTTTTATGTGTCAAATAGAAATATAAATAAACATTGGTGGAGAGTGAAAATGATAGCTGAGTTTGAAAAATCACTACAAGCCCATGCATAAATTATTGAGAAGCTTATCAATTGACGAAAATGAGACGAAAATAGACTTAAGTTTGTCACTTTAGAAATTAGGAAAATCGTGGCTTATAGCTCACAGTTTTTGTGGATAATTCAATTTTTGAACATTTCCAAATTTTTTGGTTTACACAATGAAAGTTTTATAAGTTCCTTAGAAGATTTGGACAAGTTATTGACGCACACAAGTATTATTTACAAATTTTTAATGTGTGAAATAGAAAAATAAATAAACTTTGGCGGAGAGCAAAAGTTATATCCGTGTTTTGAAAAATCATAAATTGCCCTGCATAAATGATTGAGAAGCTTATCAGTCGACGAAAATGGCACGAAATAAGGCTTAATTTCATTAATTTAGAAATTAGCAAAAGTGATCTCGAATCGTGACTTATAGCTCACAATTTTTGTAAAGAATGCAAATTTTGAACATTTGCAAATTTTTGGGTTTCACATTAAAGAAACTTTTATAAGCTCTTTAGAAGCTGTTGGACAAGTTATTAATACACAAAAGTATTTTTTACGAATGTGTAACATATAAAAATAAATAAACATTGGGGCGAAAGTGATATCCGAGTTTAGAAAAATCATTAAATGCCCAGTAGAAATTATTGAGAAGCTTATCAACGACGAAAATAACACGAAAGTAGGCTTAAGTTTGTTACTTCAAATTTTAGCAAAATCGATCTCAAATCGTGACTTATAGCTCACAATTTTTGTGAAAAATGCCAATTTTGAACATTTGCAATTTTTTGGGTTTACGTAATAAAAAAAGTTTTATAAGCTCTTTAGAAGCATTTGAACAATTTACTAATATGTAGAAGTAAATTTTATGAATCTTTAATGTGTAAATTAAAAATAAAGAAACATTTGAGTGAAAATGATATCTGAGTTTAGAAAAATCACTAAATGCCCTACACAAATAAATGAGAATCTTATCAATCGAGAAAATGACACGAATGTAGGCTTATGTTTTTTACTTTAGAAATTTGCATAATCGATCTCAAATCATGGCTTATAGATCACATCCTTTGTGGAAAATTCAAGTTTTGAAGCAATTGGACAATTTATTAGTACAAAGTGATATTTTTGCGGATTTTTAATGTGCAAAATAGAAAAATAAATCAATATTGGCAGAGAGAGAGTGATATCCGAGTTTTGAAAGCCAATAAATGTTTTTTTACAAATTATTGAGAAGTTTATCGATAAAAAAGGAAAATGACACAAATGTAGGCTTAAGTTGGATAAATTAATTCTAAATGAGCAATGTTAGGTAGGCAAAATTTGCAAACTATGTGATGTGTCATCAATAAGAAATAAGCACGTTAACCAACACTTAAGTAATAATTCAATTATCAATAATCACGTCATATAGTTTATAAAATTTGATTTAAATAGTTGATCTCTCAAGCATTACCCTTTCAAAATTGACCATGGGCACATAAATGCAAACCACGCACCATTTATTATTTCTCACACATACCTTTCAATTTCTAATCGTTGAATCGAATAAATTGAAGAAAATCAAATGCTTAAGATTAATAAGAGTGTATAGAAGGTAAAAATAACTGTGTGAATAACACTATTTATTTTTTTTGTTAAAAAATCATCATTATCAATACCTCGAATGTTCCAATAAAACGGATTTGGATCCTCTCCTGAGCAGGAGATCAGGATTCTCGGGATCAAACAATATGGACCGTTGGATTTTGATCTAACGGCTACAAACAGGAGGTCCTTCTAAAAGTTATAATAATTATAACCGTTGGATTTTATCCAACGGCCCATGTTGTTTGATCCCGAGGATCCTGATCTGCTCAGGAGAGGATCCAAATCCCCAATAAACAAGCTTCACTGTACTAGTACCCGTCGATCTGTCCTACCTGCACCTTTTCTTTTGAGATCTTTTGAGAATTTGAAAGCACATGAGAGAAATCTTCTTCGCCGATAGGCGAGTATACCCTATTTTCGGTTCGTGGACCAAAACCGGGCGGGCCATCCAGTTCATCCACATTTACATCGGGTGACCGATCAGATAAAAATTGCGCTGGTTGTGCAGAAAACGGGGGAAAATGTTTAGAAATCACCTTGTCAGCAGCCGCGACAAACGCAAATTTCGTGACACGCTTGATTTAAATAGTAGGTTTCAGCCAATTTGAGCCTCAAATTCTACTGGATCATGAAACTAATATAAGGCAGAATCACCGTGGAGTCAGCAGGTTCATGACAGTGTTGACTCTACAGGACGTTAAACGAAAAATAAACAGACTGACCACCATTAACGTAAGTTTAGTTTGTAATTAAACAGACAGACACCATTGAGGTCAAGTAGAGCTTGAATTATGTCCGCATAGAAACAAGTCCATGTTCTTGACCTTTCCCCACCAACTCCAACCCTTCTTCCCACTCGCAGTGCCAAAATCCTTCACATTGCTATTACCTCTCTTCAGCCTCCGATTGATCTTCCCTATTTGGAAACAAACCTCCAAATTCACTTCATTCCCGTTATACTTGCTTTTGTTGTTTATGCTCCTACTCTCTTCTTGTACAAGTTGAGAGGACCATTGGTCTCTCTTCACAAGTTGCTCATAGTACTCCTTGTTCCTCTTCTCCAACCCATAGATCTGGCCCTGCAGGTCCTCGATTTTACGGCTAAGCATGCACACCCTCTGATCCTCCCTCACCTTCAGCAAACACCTAGCCAGCTCTCCAGCCTTCCTCCTAATGAACATGGACTCGGACGCGATGGCTTTGTTCTCTTCCACCAATGCACCCACTTTGTACCCCAACTTAGCATTCTCATTCAGTAGTATAAGCCTTTCGGACTCCAGCACCTCCAGCAAGCTCTTCTGCAACTTCATCTTCCTTGATGACTCATTGCATCGCCTCCCCATGGTGCTGGCCTCATCAAGTAAGATATCGCATTCCACATTCTTCATCACAACCTCCGCAACAATTGCATCCAAATCCAACACCATGTTATCATCCCGGGCAGCAGCAAGAGATAATTGTGGCTGATAGGAGAGGGAACTGCCCACGTCCGAATCCATCTGGCTTAATGTATCACCATCGGCATCTTGTTGGTCATGACAGTCGTCGTAGCAGTCATTATCAATGATTGAGGTTTGGGAGGAGTGTCCACGGCGATGATTGGTTTTGGCAATTGTATGAATATAACGGTCAGATAAAGTGACGTAGGCTTTGTATAAGTCTTGAAGCAGAGAGAGCAGCTGAGGGCGTCGTTTGTAGTAAGCGTCGGCTCGTTCAGCGAAGGTGTCTCCAGTGTCTTGTTGAGCTGTGTGAGATGCCAGCATCTTCATCCTCTCTTCTATATCTGACATAATAACAACCAAGGCTTCGTTAATTCCCTTCCGCTCATATTTGTTCAACGTATATGAGATAGCTAGCCTAGGATGCATGGACAGCCAATTTCCAAGGCAAAAAATATTCACATTATATGCTGAACAAACAAATTAATCATGCAAATAAAAAAAATTAAAGATGGAGACTGAGCAGAGCACCTAATTCGAAATGAGATTTTGAATTTCACAACAGCCAACGGGAGGTAAAGTAAAGACAGCAGCAGGACCACCAAATGACTAAAGGACCAATTTCCACCGGGGAGAACATATATGTCACTCTCCATCCATCAAGATATAAGATTCCCTCACTCATTATTTCAAATTTGATTTTACTCTTGATACAAACTAAACACTCGTATGTGTAGCCCCCTTCTGCATAGAATCAAAGTTATCATGGGGGCTTTATAATTAAATTCAATATCGTATGAGCTTAAAATATAATAAAATGTTAGCACCAATTCATGCAGAATTATTGTTAAAAAAGAAAGAAAAAGAAAACAAAGAATATTGAAACAAACAGACGGAAGGAGTTTCTCTTTTTTCTTGAATCCTATTTCTAATCCTAGCACGAGTTTGTATCATAGAGTATGAAAAATACGAAAGAAAAAGGGAAAAAGAAAGGTCACTGACTTCCTGCCTCGAGCCAATGCCCTTTTAGCCTACTAGATTACTCACTACGACTCTATCAGATCGAGTTTTGAAATTCAAACACAAAGGAAGATGGATGGACAGATAGACAGCCAAAGATGGTAAACTCAGGCTACGTACGTTACCTAGTCACATCACATCATCACATGTGCACTTGCACGCAAAAACCTCCTAAGCATTTCCATTCAATCATGCGTCCGTTGTTCAATTCAAGATAAAAGATTTATAGAAAATGGCTGAAATAAATGAGTACGTAGGCGTTTCAATTCAATAATACAACATCATCATCTGAATATTTGTTCATGCGACATTGTATTATTGAACAGAGAGACCAAACGATTTTTGCATGCCAGATGCCGGCCGGTCCACGAGTAAAAGTTGAATGGAGAAGCGAAATGATTCAAGTGAAAATATTCCTACCGTCGCGGACGGATAAGAGGCATGTGGGTTTCCGATTCATGGTGGACTTGTTGCTGCTGATAAAACTACTTGGACTTGGAGAAGCCGACGACACAACTGAAGAAGAAGGAAGATTTGATGAAGCTGCTGATGTTGTTGTTTGTTTCTACACCGCTGTCGATCCGATCGATATATCTTTATAAAATTAAAAGTGAATAAATTATATAAAATTAATAAAAGAAAAGCAAAACATAAACATAGCTTAGCTATTCATGAACAGTAAAAACATGTGGAAACAGAAAGAGCAGGAGTAGGGTTTCGTCTCTGAAACGCATTTAAGACGGAGACAGTACGTACACATGTATCTAATCCCTCTGACTCATGTTTCTGAGAGAAGAGAGCAGAAGCAGCAGCACCACACAAACTTAATTCTTTGCCTTGTAGTACAAGACATTACAGCGCAGATCTCGAGGAGGAGGAGGACGAGCAATGAATTCGAAAGACGAGTATCAAAACTGTTCATTTCGCATATGTATGTATGGTCATTGGTCACCACAGTCACTCACAAGTATATCTGAAATTCTAGACATGGCGCGTGGTTTTGGAACAGTGATCATGACTCAATTCCCCATGCACAATTTTCATGGAGAAAAGTAATATTTATTTATATAACTACTTTTAGGAGAGTCGTCCTAATTTCTATTCTTTCGTTCTTTCTCACACACACTCAAAAACAGACAGAATAACAACTAATAAATGGAAAATTAATTAATTAAACAAATGATGTTGTTTCATTGTTTGTTTGTTTGTTGGAATCTCAATCACAGTTCCCTTCCAAATTCTAAATGTTTGTCTCATCTGCCCACAAATCAAAATACATACACACAAAAAATAAATTAAAATGGTGATATTCGTAATACATTTTTATCTTTTACACATTTTTTTATTTCGACTGTCAAATTTATGAATTAAGAGAATTAAAGATAAAAAATAACATAAAATTTATAAAAAATAAAAAGAAGTGGAGCACCATCCTAAATTAATTGTTAAGGAGTTAAAAGTCAAACCTTAATCAAAGACTCTTGAGATATTAAACTATGGAGACTCGGACTGTGTATGGCATTCAAAATTTCAAATCACGACGGCTTCCATACTATGCACTGGTGCATTCATAAATAAATTAAACACACACATGGACAGAAAGAAGCCCAAGATTAAAGAAAACAATGAACTGATTGTTGGAATTTAGATTATTAGTTTTTAAATTAGTTGTCTTGCGGGCCAAGGATTAATCACTTGCTCATTAAGTTTTAAATTACTTACTTGTTTTAGTCTAGGGTTTGCTTTAGGTTTTCACTATTTAAAGGACTGTTTGTATTTGGTTTGAATGATCTATCAATAAAACAATGTGATACCGTATACTGCTTAACATGGTATCAAGAGCAGGTTCGCTGGACCTGTCTCGGTGCCGTCAGCCTGAGTGATTCGTGAACCAGCACCAGATCGCCCTACACCACTGCCGACTCCAGAAAATGGAACTTCCTGCATGTTGCGACCAGGTGGATAGCGGTACACACGTCCCCTAGGCAGCATATGCTGCTGCATCATTGGCACAGGCTGTTGGTTTGGCTGCACTGGACCTGCACCACGTCGGCCTCCTGGGCGTAAATCTTGAAACCCTCGCACCCACACCCATTGAATCTGCATCGGCTTGAGCTTGCATCAGTCTGCACCGGTACCCGTTTGTCTAAATCGCCTGCTTGCTATCAGGTATTATTTTATTTTTTTACGGAGTGTTGTCATGGCATCTGCAAAGGATGATTCCCTACAAGCCATTGGTGTGAAATTAAATGGAAATAATTATGTGTATTGGGCTTATGTGATGAAGAATTTTTTGATTGGAAAAGGATTGTGGGGCTATGTTTCTGGAATGGTTTCTATTCCAAATAACCCCAAAGATGAGAATCATGTTGAATTGTTTGCTGCATGGGAGATGAATAATTCAAAGATTATTACTTGGATTAATAATTCTGTTGATTTGACTATTGGAATGCAACTTGCTAAGTTCTCAACATGTAAGGAAGTTTGGGATCACTTAGCAAAGTTGTATACCAAGGCCAATTTTGCTAAGAGGTATCAACTAGAAATGGAGATTCGTGCAATCCAGCAGGGTGATAAGAGTATTCAAGTTTTTTATAATGAAATGACCAATCTTTGGGATCAACTTGCATTGACTGAACCATTAAAGAAAAAAACTTGGCATCGTCGAGCTTTATTGTCAATATAGAGAAGAACAACGTCTTGTTCAGTTTCTAATGCCTCTTCGGGATGAGTTTGAGACACTCCGTAGCTCCATCCTACATCGAACTCCTCTTCCATCTGTTGATTCTGTTCTTAATGAGTTACAAGCCGAAGAAGTCCGTGTGCAGTCGCATAGGCTCTCTTCATCGTTGTCAAACACTTCAGCATTGGCTGCGGCAATTGGGCCGAGACCTCGTAATAAAACTGGTGTTGCTATGGATGAGTGTTCTTATTGTAAAGGGAAAGGGCATTGGAAATCCCAATGTCCCGAGTTATCTCAAAAACATGGATTTCCACATAAACCACCACATGTAGCAGCAGTTGTGCCTTCTGTTTTGCATATTGCAAATGATTCGGAATCTGAATCTAGAAAAGATGATTGGGCATGGTAGCTTGAACTTGGATTGGAAGTTTGCACTGGCATTAGTATTTATCTTGCACTGGCACTGGCATTGGTTGGAATCTTGCACTGGTACTGGCACTAGCATTGGAATCTGGCACTGGCACTGGCACTGGAATTTGGGATCTTGCACTTGCACCGATGGAATTTCGTATTGGAATTGGCATCGGAAGATAGTACAATGGAGCTTGCATCCTCATCACTTTGGCAAACCCATGTCGTGTACCGCCATGAGTTTGACGGGGGGTGTTGGAATTTAGATTATTAGTTTTTAAATTAGTTGTCTTGCGGGCCAAGGATTAATCACTTGCTCATTAAGTTTTAAATTACTTACTTGTTTTAGTCTAGGGTTTGCTTTAGGTTTTCACTATTTAAAGGACTGTTTGTATTTGGTTTGAATGATCTATCAATAAAACAATGTGTTACCGTATACTGCTTAACACTGATATGCGTCGTGTATGTATACCAACAGGATCATTTTCGGATTCTTTTGATAAGGATAGTAAAGATCCGTTAATTGATTCCGTTCATTGTATATGTGCGATCAGTTTTTGTTCGATACACTTTGTATTTAATTTTAAATAAAAATATTTAAAATGATTTATAATCTTATAATAAAAAAATATGATTCACGGATTCTTGGTCCGGATTCGTATGTATTTGTATATGTATATATAATAAATAAAGGAAATTAGAAAAGATTTGGACAATGGTGTGTCGCGGATGATGGTATAAGAATGGGAAGTTGCAAGAAGAAAAGAAACCATGAGAGAGAGAGTTACCTGCAGGCAGAGGCAGAGGCAAAGGCAAAGGCAGAGGCAGAGGCAGAGGCAGATGCACAGGCAAAGATGCACAGGCAGATGCACAGGCAAAGATGCAGAGGCAGATGCAGAGGCAAAGGCAGAGGCAAAGATGCAGAGGCAAAGGCAGATGCAGGCCCAAAGAGAGAAGAGTAACGTATGTGAGAATATGGTGAGTGACTCTCAGTCTGAGTTGTTGACAAGCAAAGCAAAGCCAAGCCTAAGCAAAGCTCCTAATAATATTTATTACTTACCCTTCATTCTTGATTAATATCATAATATGGATGGAGACCAGAGAGAATTCAAAGAGAGTCGGCGCGCTTGTTTGTATATATGTAACAAAGATTTCTCCCCCAAAAATTCGCAACTACTCTCTTTTTTGTCTTTCTTTAGCTTCACTTTGACCACTCCCATTCCGACACATGTACTCTCCCATGTACTTCCTCTCCTTTCAAATTTGTATTTTCAAATCCTCTTTTCCCCGCTACTTACAAGTTTAAACTCTACGAAGAGAAAGAGACTTCCATGGACACCAGTCACTCCAGCGTTTTCAAACCACTAATATAAAGTTATTTATAACACTTTTCGCGTGGCCTTGCATCAATGGTTTAAAACATTTCGATGGCGGTGACCTTTTTTAACCCTAGTCTTTCTCCCAATGTAACACATGTTTTACTTTGATGGTGAAAAAATTCAGGCATACTATTGTATCTTGCATTGTTCCATAACATCCATCCCATCTCATTTAAATCTAAATTCGTGGGTGTGGGTATGTCCACAATAAATCACAAATGCGTTTTGAAGAGCACCTATATTCTTAAGTCACTACTCATCTTTAAGACTACAATTGTGTCTCTAAATAATTCTCTACACTGTCTACGAAATTGAAAACATTAGTTTACAGTAAGAAAACAATTAAACCAGTGGGAAGGGCGGGGGTGAACCAAATACCAACATCAGACCTTCCTAATCGTTCTGTCTCCGCACACGTCAATAGACTAAAACAAATCTAAACAATTAAAGTGGTGTACAACGCAGCACCATCTCTTCAGGTTTCTTCCAGATGATTGTGGCGCTCCAGTCTTTCTTCTGTATTCTACCCTTCCGCACATTATCTAGGCTGAGCATTCGACACGCACTTCTAGCATATCATGCAACAAGGCTACTCCCCATGAGCCCCGTATCTGCTTGCAACTTCTTCCCCTTCTATAAGCCTGTCCACCGCATCAGAAGGAAGGCCAATCATCTCAAATGTCTTCTCCCACACCTCGTGAGAAGTTTCAACATTATGCGATTCTTCTGAAGGATTCGTTGGACGGCAATCTTGAGAAATAAAGGCACAAACAGGAAAATCATCCGTTTTCAACAATTCACAGTACTCGGGAACCTGGGGATCAGTGGCTGCAAACAGAGCACTCCTAGAACCTGCATACAATAAATCATTACAATATGATTTTCACATTCCCTCCCTTCCCCTCTTTTTGTTCAGTTTTCTAGAAGCATCAAAAGCTTCATTTATTGCATAGCAGTAAAACTCGGATCTGTTAAGTAGATCACCTAGGAGCAAGGTCAATAGTACCTGATAGGTTAAAAATTCATAATGTAATAAGTGATCAAGAAATAATCTATCATAAAGACGGGGTTTCATCCAAACTTCACAAGTCTAGGATGATCCCAGGGCTACTCGGATTAATCTTTGTTTCATTTTTTTATATTTACGTTTCAAATTTAGTAGGTAACATATATGCATCTTGCACATAAAAGAACAAGCCACATCTTCGTAGCACATATATGTGTTTCAGTTTCTTAGACATTCCTATCGACAAAGAGATTTTTTTAGCATTATTGCTGTTCTTTAGTTTAAAACTCGTAGGTGAGTTTAAGCGAGTTCTTAGGGTTTAACAAAGTGAATAGGAACAGGATCATGACAGGAAGATGATGAGAAGAACCGACTTTTCTATTCTGTTCTGTCTTATCTTTTATAAACTTTATATGGCCAACTAACAAGATCATGTGACTTTAATTATGGCCCAACTCTAGCTTTACTAATTGCAGTAAAATACAAAATGATATTAACTACTCATCAAAGATTATATTTACAAACCTTTCTTCTGGGGTGTCTTCAGTATCTTATAAGTAAGAAGGTAAAATGGAAAATGAAATGTAATAGCAAGAATGACACACCTTCTTGAGCACTAAACATAAAATAAGGTACTAGATGATAAGCAGCCTGAACAATCTTGGGTAGATCCCTTGCCTGCAATTAATTGAAACCCAAAATGATACATAAAACTCAATATACTATATATGTAGAGAAGCTTTGAATATAAAATCTTCAAGGTACATAAAACCAATAACATGCAAGACTGTTAATTAAACTTTCATATAGAAACCTTGAAGGCATATCCTTCTTTGAGGTAACGAAGAAGGGAGGGGGAAGGAAAGCATCGAGATACTTACAACATTAGTCTGGACAATTCCAGGTGAAACGCATACTACACTAATGCCAGATTCAGCAGGCAGACGCTTATGTAGGACACTACTAAACATAATCTGCAATCCAAATACAACTAGGTTAGAGTAGTCATGTTACAGCTCCGGAAATTATATACATACCACAGCAGTTAATTGACATTTCATTATGTGCAAGTGTCCAACCTTGGATAATAGATGACCGGCTTTTACAAACGATTAGAGACATCAAAGCAGATGTTGAAACCATAAAAGGAATGCCGAAAAAGACAAGCAGATGCTAAAGTTATAGCACCCAATTATCAAGCACTTGATCAATGTACAGGACCAAGTAACTAAAAAGATCTAAATAAAGACAGAGACACTTGTATTCCACATAGAGTAGCTAACAGTTTACGGATCAAAAGGACCTAATTCCTTTCCACAGACACAGATAGGGAGGAAAGCTTGTAGCTCTTACAAGCTTGTTCCAGCTAAAATATGCAAACCAACAAACAATAAAGACTTCTAAGAGCACCTGTGCCAGCTTGCTGCTTGTGTAACCCACTAAGCTTGTAAATTTTCTTTTCCCGGAAACAACGTTCATGTCTTCTGTGTCAACAAAGCCAACATAATGCATCTATATAAAGAAAGACAGCATTCTCAGATTTATGTTATATAACAGTAAAACAAGAATATCAAACTGTGAAATAAATTATAGCGCCAATATTCCATGTGTGTGTAAATAGGTGTGTGAAAGTTATATGTATCGTATATACCTAAAAAAGCATAAGCACAGGCATGTAAATTTTACGCACGATGATCATAGAACTTACAACAGAATTCACGTTAACAATTCGACTAGGAGAGCCTCTAATGAGGGAAGGCAATAGCAAGACGGATAGCAGTGCTGGAGCCAGATGATTCACTTGCAAGTGTTCTTCGTAACCATCTTTTGAAAACTTTTGCGGCTCTGAACACACCATAGGCAGAGTATTCCAGTAAATGAAAAATAAGATTCTGAAGAGACGAAGCTTCGAAATATGTAAAAATGTCAGTAAAAGGATCAACCTCCAATTGAAAATATCCCAGCATTGTTGATAAGAACATGAAGAGGGCCTAAACGTGCATTCCATGCTTCGGCAAATCTCACGACAGAATCCAATGAAAGCAGATCAAGTTCCATTACCTATAAAGATTATACAAAATTATATATTTGCATACAATTAATGAAATCAAAGGTAGATTGGCGGTGGCCCTTGGGATGTTCATAAGATACCTCAATATTCAGAGGAAGTCCCATTCCAGACCATTCATTCTGCCACTTCTGGATCAGCTCATTAGCCGCTTTCGTATTCCTCACCGCCATTATAACATGCGCCCCTGATTCCGCTAACTGCCTGTTCAGTTTTCATGTTCAAGCAAATATAATTCGAACTTGAGAAATGAAATTGAGCAATGGGCACCAGGGTATCAAAAGTTCTCAGTAACCAAACAGAGGGACGGAGCCCCAAATCCTAATACAATCTTGCAAATCGAGTTGATTTATTTATACTAAAATAAACAAGCTAACAAGAAACTGAATTCGTGAATGTTTGGAGATTTGAAGGAAGGAGAAGTAGGAGACCTGGCGATTTCGCGGCCGATTCCGCTGGTGGATCCAGTGACAATGCAAGTGAGATCGTTGACGGGAGGCAAAGGCATGGGGTTTTGCAAGTGGCTGGCGGTGATTCTCTGGAACAGCATCTCGTAGACCACATACAACCACCCCCTCATCCACTCTATCCACCCCAATCCCTCCTTCTTATTCTTCGTCTTCACTTCCTCTTTCGGATTTGACGACGCCACCGCAGCCGCCATCTCAGCCTCCTCTCTCTCTCTCTCTTTCTCTCCTGTGACGAAAGACAAAACAGTAGCTGGAGCCTCCGGAGCTATACAGCATATAGTGGCAATGGCAGACTGGTAGTGGCTGTTGCAACTTGCGAGTGTGTGATTCTGGGAAATATTTTATTTCATCTTTTTCCCCTAATTTGTGGCGACTTTTAAGGATGCATTTGTTTGGATACTGTATTTTGGACTGAACTACTTATTAGAAATGTATTATCACACATATTTTTTTACTTTTCATACATTTCTTTTTTATTTCTGTCCTTAATTTTTTTCAGTTTATCTAATCAGACTGTCGAAAATTAAAAAGATATATGAGAAATAAAAATGGATATGTGAATATCACACATTTCTTGTTGAGTTATGTCCTTAATCTTTTTCAGTTTATCTAATCAAACTGTCGAAAATTAAAAAGATATATGAGAAATAAAAATGGATATGTGAATATCACACATCTACTTATTAATATAGTTCCATGTTTGATAGGTGCTAGGATTAAGTAAAAAGGGAGTGAAGAGGACTCGAGGCGCTGGGCCTGCCGTGTGAAATGGTAGAGGCCTTACTGTTGTGGATGAGCTAGCTAGAATCTCTCCTCCCCTGGATGGCTTTGCTTTAGTGTAGAGGCTCTAGAGAGACCTGTAGCCCAAGGTTTTGGGTTAAAAGGGTTCATTTCTCATGCTATGCCAAATTCTGAAAAGTTGTTTTGTTGGGTTACAGCTTACTGGGCATCATCATTCATCTATACCCTATAGAGAATAGACCACAAGTCTACTTGTGCCTGTTGGGACTTGGGAGGGAGGCGCTTTCGACCAGCTCATTAGTCATTACACAAGGTCACTCAACTTGAATGAAATCCAAGAGACCCTCAACTTTTGTATTTTGTCTTTGGTGGCAGGTCTCGCAGGCAGGGGCCCATTTTTGATACTTGGAGATTCTTTATTCCTCCCTTGGCCCAAAAACTCTTATTAGCCTGCCTCTTAATCTTAAATCCACACAAATTCCACATTACTAATCAAAAATGGATTATTGATAGCGAACTTTAGGTACCGTTTGGTACACAGACGGGACGGAACAGGACGGGACGGGACGGGACGGAACAGGACGGAACAGATGATGTAAATATTGAAAAAGATAAGGAGAAATTTTGTCATAAATATGTATATATTAAAATTTGTGTTCCACGGATGTGGAACGGGTCGTTCCAGGAGGAAGAGGTGGAACGAAAAATCAGCCAAATTTCGTCCCATGGGACAACCCGTTCCACAGTTTTTAGGCGCACCAAACGTGGGACGGAAAGTCCGTCCGTCCCGTCCCACGTACCAAACGGTACCTAACGAAAAGCACCTGGTACTGTTCACTTTAACGAAAAACCATATTTTTACACTAAAAAGTCAATCATGGTACTATTCACTTTACCCTTTATTTTGTCCTTATCATTAAAACTCAAAGTTTTCAAACCCTTTTCATTAGTTTTCCTTTATTGATATTCTACACCACATTGCTAATCAAATACGAATTCTATTTCAGTACAGCCTTTTCTTTCTTTAAATCTAAAATAATATATTCTACTCGTTTCAAAATATAAATAGAGCTCATTTGGATGTGCTTTTAAAATGACTAAAAGCGTTTTTAGTGAAAATGTTTTTGAAACTTATTTTTGGAAAGCACTTTTAAGTGCTTCCTGGAAGAAGCACATATTTGGTGCTTCTTCCAAAAAGCTCTTAAATGCTTTTGGAATCCAAAATCAATTTCACCAAAAGCACTTCTAGTCATTTTAAAAGCATTTCCAAACGAACCCATAGTCTCCACAAGTTTAGAAAGCAAAGACTTTTTCCTTATGTGGTAGAGAGGAGAGTCTCTACGTACAGTATGGGAGGTGAGACAATGTCCTCAATTCTTTACAGATTTGAGCATACACTAGTTTGTTTTCAAAATTCGGCTTAATCTTGAATTAGTGCTGAGAAACCATTGGTTGTAAATTCTAAATTGGATGGATGCTGTCCTCACTCCTAAGTGCCTACTAAAACCTGCCTAACCTATACATATTCCTATCCTTGCTTGATACTTACACTAACCAATTACATGCCTACAGGCTACATATAATCATATATCATCTATATGGTGGAGTGGATTCTGGATAGTCATACAATCAATTAAACAAAATTGTAAACAAGGAGTTGAAGGATCGTTCTCTAATTGATACATAAAGGAAATATTTATATTTTTTTATCATCCAATTAATTAAATTAAACAGAATCAACACACAAAACTAAACATGAATGAGTGAGAGAATAATTAAAGATGCGCATGTTTATTATTTTTTAAAATATAATCCTCCAGAAAACACAAGTCTACCTGAAAAGATTCGACAGCATATATAGATTATTAGTGTTTAAGCCAAAGGCCAAAAAGGTATTTCTCAGCTGAGTCTTCTCCCAAAAAACTCTAATATAACAGCAATAGTAGTACTAATTAAACAAAGTTTATGAATCAACATATATAATAACCATACATATAAAACTAATGGTTTGGTACTCGATGAGCTTCTGCCAGCTGATAACTAATTAACAAATACATAAGAGATAAACAAGCTTAATGAACAGACAAGAGAATCTCTCGGGGTATTCCTTGTGCATATAAAAGTAAATGAACAAAAACGAAGATAATTAAATACACACCAAGAAGAAAGGAAAAAGGTTTATGATAATAGTACGAGTAGAAGCTAAATGGCAGTGCTAGCAATCTCCCTGAAACGGCGTTGATCAGATTCTAGCCTCTCAAGTCTGATGTCATTGTTGATCTTCTTGATGAAGGCCTCTGCTCGCTGGTTCAACTCTTCCTGACTCATCGACTTTTGCCTTCTCAAAGACACTCTGTCGCTAAACGTGTCCGATTTCTTGAGCTCCCGTCGAGCCCATGTCACTGCATCGTCCTCGTCATCGTGATCATCATCCAAGTTACATTGATTCAATTGACGTTGTGGGACTTTGAATTTGGTATTTGTGATGGCCAATTGCCGGCCGGTTAGGCGAGGAGGCGTGTCCCAAGTGTCACTCTTTTTGAGGTGCTTACCGCTTGCCTTGCCTTGCCCATCCATGATGGCCTTCCATGTCGTGTCCAATGTCTTGGTGTCATCATCCGCCTCCACCTCCTCCTCCTCCGTTGGCATTGAGTCACCGCAGCACTTTTCCGGTGAAGGCCCAGATCGCTGATGATCATCATACTCAAAGGTAGTAGTACTAGTACTGAGAATAGTATTTGGAATTACACCTTCTTGTACTGTGTGAATGTCATGCCAACTGATCATCTCATTATTCAATGTGTACGGATGGTTGTCTAGAGATGATGAAGAGAATAGAAAAGTTGCATCATCTTCCGGATGACTTTGGAATAATCTGTCTTGCTGCTGCGGCGGCTGGGCGGACAGCATCTGGGATTGGCTGCTGTTGTACTTGTTGTCGGTGTTGTTGTCTGGACTGTAAATAAAATCGTGAGAGGGGTCAATGTTGTCAGTGGTCTTGGCATTGTTTTTAGTAGTGTCGCCGGAGGCAACGGAAGAAGAGGAAAGGTGGTGCTTGTGGTTGTGGTTTTGGCGTTGGAAAGCGGAGGAGGCAGCGATGGTGAGGATGATAAAGTTGAGGATGATGTAGATGTAAAGAGGAGATAAGGAGCAGCAGTTTTTGAAAGAAGTCCGGATGTGAGGGACGATGGAAAGACAGAGGTTGAGCAAGTAAGGAATGATTGCTGCTTTGAAGAATACCACTGTCGACACTGTCCCTACACAAAGCAGCAACACCTTTGCTGCCCAGATTGCCGTTTCCAGTCTTCCTCTTTTGAACGCATCCGCCATCATCTTAATTTGTATCCTAATTATAATTAATTCCTAATCCAAAGAAGGATAAGTTCTGAGAGAAATTCAAATTCAAAATAAGAAGAAAGAAAGAAGCAGAGAATGTGTCAAAAACCACACGCTGTGCCTCTGCTCGACAAAATGAGACCCGAAATAGCATATAAAACCGCCATTTTCGAAACAGTAGGGATTTGGGAAATTGAAGACTACTTTACTTAGGCTAGACACGGAGACTAGGAACTCTGAGAGAGAGAGAGAGAGAGAGAGAGAGAGAGAGAGAGAGAGACGAAAGGGTTCCTTAAAACAGCATAAAAATTTGCTGGAATAAATTAATACCTTAAGGCTCAAGACATGAAGATGATTAAGTTGCGTGGCACTTGATGAAAATATGTATATGAGCAGCCTTATAGCCTAGCTAGGATGGGATCACATGAAAAAATTGGTTCACTCCCATATCATATATATAAACAAAGAAACTAAGAAAAAGAGAAATCAACAAGAAGAAAATGAAGAGGGAATGAAGGTGGGCTAATGGACTAGGATTAATTCATTCATATAGAGCTACGAAGAATGGACAGAAAGTAAAGCAGAGAACGGATGCAGTTTGCATTTGCAGTTGCAGACGGATTTTGCATCTCTTCGACTTCAATGGTGATGCAGAGATTAATGGGCTTTTTGTTTAGAGAGAAAGATAGATAGACAGAAATTAAGATGAGCAAGGACAAGGACCAAGAGGCAGGGACAGGGAGGGAGGGCTTAAAAACACGAAAGGGAAGGGCCCTTTGTGCTTGTGAGAGGCGCTTAAACTTAAATTCCCCACAACTACTCCTAATTGATCAAATCTCTGCCGTCCAATCTTCACGTCCTCTCCCAAACTGTTCGACGTTTGCCACATTATTCTTTCTATTATTAAAGTACCCTTTCTTTTCTTATTATGGTCATATATGGGCCAGCATCAGCACCAGCACCAGCACCAAATTAGAAAATTAGTTGATGTTACAAGTTCGAGCAAAGTTTTGGATTAATTAACTAAAATCTAATCTCCATTAGATCTCGGACCATGCCGCTTTATTTTCATCCACGGCTCAGTCCTACTTCTAAATATAATTCATAATAAGTGCATGCTCAACTCATTATACCACATAGTTAATTATCACTATCAAGTACTAAATTTTAATGAGACGTGTTAATGATTTAACATATTGATATTATCTCACAACTTATCCACCTGCTAGCTCAACATGAGTTTGATGTCATCCTAAAAAGCCTTAATGGAATTAGGAATGGAACCTTCTAATAGACATATATATTGCAATTTAATTTGTGAATTTTTCAGTCCGGAATTTTCTAACACTAAGAACTAACCCTGCAGCAAAAAGATCCCATATTTCCACATGCTATGCTAAGCTTGAGTCATGACCATGCACTGTAACTCTGTAACAACTTACACTGTAATTTTGTAAAGAACAGTTTATGTACAAACTGTAAATAAATTAACCAATTAAGGAAGTAAACTTGGCTCAACAAAAGATCCCTCCCTAGCTCCTTCTCTATTCCTTAAGCCAAAATGGAATGGAAGCTGTATATATATAGTTTTAAGTTGTTGTTTTTGGAGGGGTTGGTTGGAAATTGGTGGGTGGATATTGGATAATCAGCAGCTGTTCTCCATTCCTAAATTTCCTCCACTATTTTTCAAACAAACAAATATTAACCAGCTTCTGTCTTTATATGTATATACAACTATAGCCTATAGGAGTAGATGATGATATTGATCATCGTGTTTCTGTTAACCCCACTCAACTAATCAAAGTTTGTAATTTCTTCTTGGATACCAAGCTAACTATTAGCTTAATTACCCTGGATAATTATTTAGATCTAGTAGAAGCTAGCTAGCTAGGTGCTCATCATCATTTTAGTTACAAATTATTAAGGAAGGAAATATAGATTACAAATATATCTCAAATCTTAATTTGTACAATTTAGGAGGATGCATTGCATTTGCATGCGATGAAAGTGGCATAAGTTAACCAGGCTGATGATAAGCAGAAATGGACCCTCCCTTTCATTGGGGGCCATTGGGGGCCATTGGGGGTCTCCTTCTGTCTGACCCCAGGGAACACCCACAGCCATGCACTAGCCACCACCCCCACGGAAAGGGATTATTTCCGGATTCTTTTCACCAAATTCATCAAATTAAAGGATCCGGAGCCTTCAAATTTAATCTAACCGTTAAAGTTATTATACTTTTTAAAGGGACTCCTTGTTTGTAGCCGTTAGATCAAATTTCAAGGGTCTGGATCCTTTGATTTGGTTGAAGGGATCTAGAGAGGATTTCTTTACCCCTACGAGAAATTTTTCATTGTGACGGGGAATATAGGTAGTACACCACGTGTTTTTATATAAGTGGTCGGAAATTTTATTTTTTAAGTTATTAACTTTTTAACATACATATTTCAACATTTATATAGTGACACGTGATATATCACTATGTGTACCGATCACATTAAAAATTCTCTCTGACCCCACCCCACCCCTGTGGTTGCCTGGTTCTGCTTTTCCACGATCGTTTTTTCATTATACTACTTTGTTTACGAAATCTATATTATGAATATTCTGCGTTGAAACTGATAGCTCACAAGTCACTCACTAAGTACCAAAAACACTCTGCCATGTCCCAACAAGTTCATTTGGAACCTACCTCTCTCCTCTAACCAACTGTAATTACAACTTTAACCCAAATGAACTTGTACCGTTGGTTTCGATTCGTCTTCAAATGTGTCGGAGTCGTTTGTCGTGATTATCAAAAGTTGCACAGGCACTGGCACGCTTCATGTCAGCCAATACATTGCAGCTAGCTACGAACATCATATCATTGCCAGTGCTGATTGCCTAATTGACAAGGGGTAAGGGCTGAGGAGGAATGTTGAAGATAGCCAATGACTGATGAAGAACACAAGAATGTTGATTATGTTTGTGGTTTTATCGTAAGATAAGAATTATAGTTCCTTTTGTATTTTTATTAGGGATTAAGATTGCTTTATTATGTGTTTCATAATTAGGTCATTATAAGCACGCATTTTAATTGTAATTCTGTATGAATTAAGTATAACAAGAACGTAGCCGTTTGGTTGCATAGTCGTTTTGATACTTTGTTGTATTTTATTTATTTTAATTAATCGAATAAGAATACAAGTTTATAATGCGTTGGTTCTTCTTTTTTCGTTCTTTGATAGATATTAATTTTAACACAGTCATTAGATATATTATAGTAGCAAAGCAAGCAAATAAAAGTAAAATAACGTCACTTGGCATGAGCTACAGTGTACATATTAGACTACTACTACGTAATTCTACTAGTGATTGATGGCATTACATTTACAATAGAGAGAGAGAGAGAGAGAGAGAGAGAGAGAGAGAGAGAGAAATCTTTCTACAGTCACGATCACAAACAGTACAGTATTCGCTTTGGCTTTGATTTTGGTTAACACATAAATCCACCCGTTGAGGGATCAACAACTGAAGGTTGAGTTGTCGTTAATAATTATGCATCACTATCCCTCTTTGGTCAGGCCCAACATTGTTAGGTAAACAGTAATCCCCTCTTGGTGTATTTTGCGATCGATACATCCAATTCTCCATCGTGGGTTTCCTTTTCATTTGACATACGTACCTAGTTGCTTTGATGAGTCGGTGACAAAGTTGAGCTCGATCGTTTTTTCTTGATGAAAAACCAGTTTATTAGCATACAAGAATAAAACTGTTTGTACATAGTACTAGCTAGCTACCAATCAGCACATGCTTAAGTAATTATAAGTCAACATGATTGGGATATCTTACCAATTATGAATATAACAAAATTAAAATTATAAGAATATTGCTCTCTTAGTTTGAAGGATCTTTCACTTAAGGACATGTAGTTTCAATTTTGGCAATTGAAGTCCTTCATGGATAATCCGTTATATCAACAAACAACAACGAAAGTTGATGTATTCCTTCAAGCAATGAACACATGGAAGGACATAATTGGCATGTTCGAGCGTGGTTAATACTCTCATTCCGCTATTAAAAACAAATTTTGAAGTTTTTGGAGCACTTTGTAGAGGATTTCATGGTAAAACGAGTGAGTTTTTAGTCCACTGTGATGATTAATTTAACGTATAAGGTGAAGGAAAGCTCTAAAAGGTCAACTTTAGATCGAGAGCATGAACACAGTATGTAAAATTTTAAAAATAAATGTTATTATGTTTAAAAAGAATGAATAGAGTATTGCCCATAAATATTTCAAATACATCCTTGATTTCTTGTTCCATACTATTATATGAGTAGAGGTGTAACAATGATATTATTTGCAGTAACATTCTAGATATATAGATATGTATATCGAGGTGAAATTTTTTCAAAGATTACTTTTGTTTATAAATTGGCTTCTTGGGTGACCAACTTAATTACCACTGACCCCCTATCTTTATCCTCTACCAAATATATAATACACAATGTACTGCATGCATATGCTTTTTAAATTGCTACTGCAGTTTAATTTTCTTTCGATTGCATCGGCAGCAACGGCAAGATTAATTAATAAACAATTCTACTAGAATATAGTTCCATCTCCATGTGAGATATCGACGACCTATGAATTATGATACATGTAGCTATATACGTATAAGAAACTAATGAATTGAAGAAAAGTTTTTGTGATTGATGTCCATGCCCTCGACCTAGCTATCAAGTCGATTCACACGTGTATATATATCATCTTCTAACTTCTAAGAATTGAAACCACAATCTGCTTTCCTTATTACTGATTAGGGATAAATGGAAGCTGCTTGTAATTAATTAAGATTAACAATTAAGCAAACAACGCAGTGAATATATAATGAATTGTATTGTTGGTTGTTTCAAGTAGCTACCGCTTGATTAATGTTTATATAAAGAGATGGAGACATATGTTGGAGTCACACACACTGCTGGTAGGGGATTTACCCCTATATACAAATAGC